ATGATGCTGATGATGCTGATGATGCTGATGCTGATGCTGCTGCTGCTGATGATGATGATGATGATGATGATGATGATGATGATGATGATGATGATGATGATGATGATGATGATGATGATGATGATGATGATGGTGATGGTGATGGTGATGGTGATGGTGATGGTGATGGTGATGAGGAGGAGGATGAGGAGGAGGAGGAGGATGCGGAGGAGGAGAGAACGGGGGATTGTGGAGTCGCAGGGGTTCAAAAGCGCGCGCGCGAGGGTTTCGCGCTGAGTTCGCGACTGTTTCTGTGCAAACTCTGCTCTGTGTCGTCCTCCTCCTCCTCCTCCTCCTCCGCCTCCTCCTGGGGGGGGGGGGGGGGGGGGGCGCCAGGAGAAAAAAAAAGAATGCGACGTGGCAACATCTGCCCTCCCCCCTAGAAGGATTCCTATTGGACGCCCCCATAGGAAGGATTCACAGTGAAATCCTCGACAGAAGGGTTCCTATCGAAACCCTCCACTGAATGATTCCTACCGAAATCCTCCACATGTGAATTCCTACTGAAACCCTCCACAGCGGTAGTATCATGGTAATGGTAATGCTAATGGTAATGGGAATGGGAGTGGAAATGGTACTGGCAATGGTAATGGTAGTGACGAATGGCAATGGCAATGGCGATGGTGATGGTAATGGTAACGGCGATGGTGATTGTGGAGTCGCAGGGGTTCCACAGCGCGCGCGCGCGAGGGTTTCGCGCTGAGTTCGCGACTGTTTCTCTGCAAACCCTGCTCTGTGTCGTCCTCCTTCTCCTCCTCCTACTCCGCCTCCTCTTCTTCCTCCTTCTCCAGGAGTTGTTTTTTTGTTCTTGGAGCCCCCCCCCCTCCCAAAAAAATGTGTTTGGTGTTTTTGTTTGATTTTTTTTTTTTTTTTTTTTTTGGGGGGGGGGGGAGGCGAAATACAAAGGAAACGCCTTCTCCTCCTCCTTCTCTGCCTGGACGTCGATGGAGGCGCGAGAACGAAAGAGAGAGAGAGAGGGAGAGAGGGAGAGAGAGAACGAGATGAGGTACCTACTGAAATCCTCGAAAGGCAATGGCAATGACAATGGCAATGGCAATGGCAATGGTAATGGTAATGGTAATGGTAATGACAGTGGTAATGGTAATGGTACTGGTAATGGTTACGGTACTGATAGTGGTAACGAGGTAGCGAGGCAATGACAATGGCAATGGCAACGGTAATGGTAATGGTAATGGCACTGACAATGGCAATGAGAATGGCAATGGTAATGGCCATGGCAATGGCAATGGTAATGGCCATGGCAATGGTAAGGGTAAAGGTCAAGGTAATGGTAATGGTAATGGCAATGGCAATGGCAGTGGTAATGGTAATGGTAATGGCAATGGGAATGGGAGTGGGAATGGGAAGGGGAACGGGAGTGGAAATGGTAGTGGTAGTGGTAGTGGTAATGGTAATGGCACTGGTAATGGTAATGGTAATGGAAATGGAAATGATAATGGAAATGATAATGGTATTTGGAATGGGAATGGGAATGATAATGGACATTCTAATGGTAATGGCAGCGGTAATGGTAATGGTAATGGTAATGGGAATGGGAATGGGAATGGGAATGGGAATGGAAATGGTATTGGCAATGGTAATGGTAGTGGCGAATGGCAATGACAATGGCAATGGCAATGGCAATGGCAATGGTAATAGTAATGGTACTGGCAATGACAGAGGTATTAGTAATGGTACTGGTATTGGTAATGGTAACGGTAATGGTAATGGTAACGGGGTAGCGATTGGCAATGGCAATGACAATGACAATGGCAACAGTAATGGTAATGACAATGACAATGGGATTGGCAATGCCAATGACAATAACAATGATAATGGCCCTGGCAATGGCAACGGCAATGGTAAGTGTAATGGTAGTGGCAATGGTAGTGGGAATGGTAACGGGAATGGGAAGGTGAATGGGAATGGGAATGGGAACGGGAACGGGAATGGAAATGGTAGTGGTAGTGGTAACGGAAATGGGAATGATAAGGGTAAGGGTAAAGGTAAAGGTAAAGGTAATGATAATGGTAATGGAAATGATAACGGTAATGGTAATGGTCATGGGCATGACAATGGCAATGGACATGGTACTGGCAATGGTAATGGTAGTGGCTAATGGCAATGGCAATGGCAATGCGAATGGTCATGGTAATGACAGAGGTAATGGTAATGGTACTGGTAATGGTAACGGTAATGATAGTGGTAACGGGGTAGCGATTGACAATGGCAATGGCAATGACAATGGCAACGGTAATGGTAATGGCAATGGCAGTGGCAATGGCAATTGCAATGGCAATGGCAATGGCAATGGCCATGGCAATGGTAATGGCAATGGCAATGGTAATGGTAATGGTAATGTGAATGGGAATGGAAACGGGAATGGGACTGTGAATGGGAATGGGAATGTGAATGGGAACGGGAATGGGAATGGCAGTGGTAGTGGTAACGGAAATGGGAATGGTAAGGGTAAGGGTACAGGTAAAGGTAGAAGTAATGGTAATGGTAATGGTAATGGCAATGGCAATGGTAATGGTAATGGCAATGGCAGTTGTAATGGTAATGGTAATGGTAATGGTATTGGGAATGGGAATGGGAATGTGAATCGGAATGGTAATGGTACTGGCAATGGTAATGGTGGTGGCGAATGGCAATGGCAATGGTAATGGTAATGGTAGTGGCGAATGGCAATGGTAATGGTAGTGGCGAATGGCAATGGCAATGGCAATGGTAATGGTAATGGCAATGACAGAGGTAATGGTAATGGCAATGGTAATGGTGACGGTAACGGTAATGGTAATGGTTATGGCAATAGTAACGGGGTAGCGACTGGCAATGGCAATGGCAACGGCGATGGCAATGGTAATGGTAATGGTAATGGCAATGGGAATGGGAATGGGAACGGGAACGGCAATGGCAATGGCAATAGCAATGGCCATGGCAATGGTAATGGTAATGGTCATGGTCATGGTAATGGTCATGGTCATGGTAATGGTCATGGTAATGGTAATGGTAATGGTAATGGGGATGGGAATGGGAATGGGAGTCGTAGTGGTAATTGGAACGGGAACGGGAATGGAAATGGTAGTGGTAGTGGTAATGATAATGGCAATGGTAATGGTAATGGTAATGGAAATGGTACTGGTAACGGTAACGGTAATGGCAATGGTGATGGGAATGGGGATTGTAATGATGATGGCAGCGGTAATGGTAATGGTAATGGTAATGGTAATGGTAATGGTAATGGTAATGGTAATGGTAATGGTAATGGCAATGGTAATGGTAGTGTCTAATGGTAATGGGAATGGTAATGGTAATGGTAACGGTAATGGTAACGGGGTGGCGACTGGCAATGGCAATACAATGGCAATGACAACGGCACTGGTAATGGCAATGGCAATGGGAACGGCAATGGCAATGATAATGGCAATTGTAATGGCCATGGTATTGGTAATGGTAAAGGTAAAGGTAAAGGTAAAGGTAAAGATAAAGGTAGAGGTAATGGTAATGGTAATGTGATGGGGAATGGGCATGGGGATGGGAATGGAAATGGTAATTGTATTGGGAATGGGAATGGGAATGGGAATGGGAGTGGGAGAGATTGAGAGAGAGAGAGAGAGAGAGAGAGAGAAAAAGAAAGCGAGAGAGGAAACATCAGCATAATGATGAAGAACAACGTGAAATATCGTAAATGTTCGTCTGAAACCCACAGCGACTCCACAATCCCCCGGCCTCGAGGAGGAGGAGGAGGAGGAGGAGGAGGAGGAGGAAGACGAGGCGGAGGCGGAGGCGGAGGCGGAGGCGCAGGCGCAGGCGCAGGCGCGGGTTCAGGCGCAGGCGCAGGCGCAGGCGGAGGAGGAGGAAGATGAGGAGGAGGAGGAGGAGGAAGAAGAAGAAGGCGAATCAGAAGAAGCATACTAAGCATAACACTACTCATCATAAGAGTAATAATAAGAGTGATAATAATAACGCTAAGAAGAATATTGATCATAATTCTAATTGCAGTATAAATGAGAATGCGACTAATAATACGAATGCCAAGAATAACAATAAGCGTACTGAATACGAATAATAATCATGATCATAAGAAAACGACCAATCATAACAATAAGCAGACACATTATGATATTACTACTGAGAAAACATAATACTAACACAGCTCATACTAGTAAGAAGAAAAATACGAGTCATAGTAATAATAACGGTAATACTGAATTCAAAATTAATAATCATACGATGAATGCGAATAATACGGATCATAATCAGAAGACAGTACGAATATTAATTCCACGAATGAGAATAATAATAGCAATGCTAATACTAAGAATAATAACGAGACGAAGGCTAAGAAGACGAATCATAATAATACCACGACGAATAATAATACTATCAATATTAATGATACTATTATGAATAATACTCATAATGCTACTACTACTAACACTAATACTAATACTAACACTAATAGCATATTAATAGTAGTAATCGTACGAAGAAGACGAATAATATGAATAAGAAGAGGATGAGGCGGAGGAGGAGGAGGAGAAGGAAGAGGAGGAGGAACAGGAGGAGGCGGAGGCGGAGGCGGAGGAGGAGGAGGAGGAAGAGGCGGAGGCGGAGGCGGAGGCGGAGGCGGAGGCGGAGATAGAGGCGGAGGTTGAGGTGGAGGTGGAGGCGGTGGTGGAGGATGAGGTGGAGGAGGAGGAGAGGTAGGAGGAGGAGGACGAGGAGGAGGAGGAGGAGGAGGAGGTGGAGTAGGAGGAGTAGGAGGAGGGAGGAGGAGGAGGGGAGGAGGAGGAGGAGGAGGAGGAGGAGGAGGACGAGGAGGACGAGGAGGTGGTCGCCATCTTCTGCTGCTCGCCTGGCCAGCTCCCGCCCCTCGCATTGTGGACGGCGGGCGCAAGGCGTCGTCGTCGTCGTCGTCGCCGTCGCCGCCCCGCCCCGGCCAGCCCCTGGGCGAGGCGTCCTGGCGGGGGGCGCGGGCGAGCGGGGCGTGCCGCCAGGCGCCGCCGCCTCGCTGCCCCCCAGAGGTGTCGATGGTCATCAAGACGTGTGGCCCATGCGTGCGCTGACCCCCTTCAGGTTTGCCGATAGCGCGCAGCCCGTGTCGGCTCTTGTTGATTACACCGCCTGCGTCGTACTGAAGGGCTTCGGTGGACCAGCACACGTTGGCGCTAACCCACGTTCTGAGGATCATTGGAGGGCTGGGAGGTGCTTCTAGCTTTCCCAGGAAGGCTCGTTGATGGCTTGACGGTTATTCGCCAATCGACTCGTGGGGATGAAGCAGGCAAGTCAGGGTAGATGAGATACATGAAGGTACATCCTGGCAAATCCTTGCAAATCCAAGTAAATCCAGAGATCACCAGGGAAGTTTGGAGCAAATAGTGGTCGATCCAGCGCGAGTCGAGGGACGACGGAAGTCGTTAAGTTCTGAGCGATCTCCCAGAGAGGGACATATAGTAGTTTCGCGTCGTGTCGACCAGCGGCGACCCCGCCGCCAGCGTTTAATTGTGGACGCGGCCGGCAACCCAGAATCGGTCTATGCTGAACGATCTGACGTTTCGAAAGCGGCCGATGGGAACATTGAAAAGCCACATATAAACCCGCACCCCCGACCCGACGTTTGGGTCTTCGGGTTGGGTTGGGGTGGTTAGTAGGTCGTCAAGGAAACAACTGCCAGAGGATGCCTGGGATTACGCTCTCCAGGTCCTGGGGACTCGTAGCTGATCGTGGGCCGAGGACCAGCCTGGCCAAGATCGGTGTTGGTGTGTAGAGACACGAGCCGCAATTCTGGGAGCTGTGGTCCTCACCCTCCGGGGGTCCCCTCGGCGGGTTTCACCAGCAGGGTAAGGAACGCAGCTCCCCCAGCCTTGGATGGTCGGGTATAGTTAGCGATCCCCCGTAGGGGGTGTAATGAGGGGCGAGAGGGGGATTCCCGCGGCACTGCCGCCGCTGTCGTCGTCGCCGTAGCCCATCGCCGTCGCCGTCGTCGTCGCCGTTGTCGTCGTCGCCGTCGTCGTCGCCCATCGCCGTCGCCCATCGCCGTCGCCCATCGCCGTCGCCGTCGCCGTCGTCGCCGTCGTCGTCACCGTCGTCGAAGTCGTCGTCGTGGTCGTCGTCGTCGTCGTCGTCGCCGTCGTCGCCGTCGTCGTCGCCCATCGCCGTCGCCCATCGCCGTCGCCCATCGCCGTCGCCGTCGCCGTCGTCGCCGTCGCCGTCGCCGTCGCCGTCACTGTCGTCGTCGTCGTCGTCGTCGCCAGTGGCGCCAGCGCCGTCGCCGTCGCCGTCGTCGTCTCCGTCCCACTTGGCGGCGTCTTGGGCTGCCTTGGTGGGCCGTCTTGAGAGATCGCCAAGCCGAAAAGGCGAGCACGCTGAGCTCATTCAAACAACTTCGAGAAGTCAATACTTTTTGGTGCTTTTTGGCCTTTCGCGGAGCCCTCTGGGAGCTTCTTGGGAGTTTCTTCGGCCATTCTGTCTCTTGCTGCCCAGCACGGGTGATAGCTCCTCCGCTGGCAGTTCTCTTTTTTTGGCGGGGCTGTGGGGTGTCAGAGCATTCTGCGTCGTCTTTCGTTCGGCGGGCTCAGGGATGAGCCATTTTCCCGTCCCGCCGACTGGCTCCCATTCCCTCGTGGGGGCCTTTCATTTTCATGAGGTGAGGTGGCTTGTAGCGGGCGTGCATCTTCAGCCGTTTTGGCTGTCGCTCCGATCGTCGTTGGCGCCGTCGCTGCCGTCGGCGGGGCCCGCGAGCCTGCGCGTTTCACTCCTGCCGCTGCCGCCGCCGCTCTTGAGTTGGGGGGTTGATCCAGATCCAGGTCGCCCGCATGTTGCCAGAGTATCTTCTTACCCTGCATGCGCGATGCACCTGCGCACGCGCTGACGGCGGCGAGTATTCGAGCCCGACTCCAGCACCCTCCGAACTGTTGCGTGCTCGGAGGGCGCTCTGGCGGCCCCGCGGCCTTCCCTCCCTTCGCTCCTGCCTTCCTGCTCCTGTGCGCGTAATTCGCCTCCGACGCGTCCCGCCGTTCGCCGACCGCCTGCTGGATCCAGCTCGCCGCAGGGCGAAGACGTTGCCAGAGTATCGGGCGGGCACGGCGGCCGGAGAGATCCGAGTCGTGACCCGAAACGCCAGACGATGAGGATCAGTCCAGTCGGACGAGCAGGGGGGATCCTGAACGATCTGACGTGCAGGGCCTCGAGCCAAACGTTTTTTTTTTTTTTTTTTTTGTTTGTTTTGTTTCGCAGCAAAGGCAGATCGAAGACAGAACGCGGGAAAGCGAAGACAACACAAAACGAAAGCGAAAAACACTGTTTAGCTCGAGCCCTGCTGGCGTTTCGGAAACGGCCAATGGTTTAAGGTGGAACGATCCCCGCGGTGTCTGGAGCCAACCCCGAGGTCGGCGCCACGCGGGCCTGCCGCATGTGGGCCGCAGGATGGGCGAGGTTGGGCCCGAGACTTCGGGCGAAGCAACACATTCACGCTACCGAGGAACCCGACAGACATACTACTTACACAATTTGTATGTAACCACTCAGCATCCCACCCGGGCACACCTCCAGCGAACCCCCTGCGGTGTCGAGAAAGTGCCACGCCTGCCGCGGGCGGCGTGCAACGTTGAGGAGGAGGAGGAGAAGGAGGGAAAAGGAGGAGGAGGAGGAGGAGGAGGAGGAGGAGAAGGAGGAGGAGGAGGAGGAGGAGGAGGAGGAGGAGGAGGAGGAGGAGGAGGAGGAGGAGGAGGGAGGAGGAGGAGGAGGAAAACGAGGAGGAGGAGGAAAGGGGAGGAGGTGAGGAGGAGAGGGTGTGAGAGAAACGCGGGTGTGATGCGGGAGGGAAGAAACCTAGAACCCCATGACACATGTGGGGAAAAGCTATAGACATGAACCAATGCCAGGGTCGTCACGACATGAACCCGCCGTACATGGGCTGACTCGCTACCCCCCTTTATTGCCCCTCCCTGTCGTCCGACCCGAGACCGTGTAAGTAGTTGGTAGAAGCGGCATCGCCCTCGCAGCTCCGCGGCAGCTGGTATCGTCGTCGCCGTCGTTGTCTTACTCGCCGTCGCCGCCGCCGTCGTCCCCAGACTCGGCGGCGAGCCTAGGGGGGAAGTGAGAAGGGGCTGGCTTTGTTCGAAGGCTCGGAAGGCCTCGGGCCTTCTGAGAAGTTATCTAAGCCTTCCCCGAATACACAGAACACTTCAGAGAAGGCCGGCGGGCTTCTGAGAAGCCCTGCGGCCTTTTGAGAAGGCTTGCGCATTCTCACTCCCCCCCCTGGGCTCGCCGCCTAAAGACATCCTCTCATTTGATTTTGTCAGTCCGCGGCAGATCCCATCCCCTCGCACGGGGGCAGCAGCCTTGTGTGCTAGGTTCGTTTTTGATTACGCGTGGGCCCGAAAATGGTCCCCATGTGGCCGAAATGGAGGAAAAACGCTGCCGCTGCTCGCCGCCGTCGTTGCCGCCGTCCGCGCGAGCAAAGCGAACGGGCGCTGGGGGTCAGTATCGTTCAACCCACCCTTATCCCCATCCCCATCCCGCCGAGGCCCCACCATCTCAGCACCCCTGTTGGGGGATATACCCTTCGAAACCCGAGGGGAATGTCCTATATCCCCATCCAGGGGGTAAATTGGCCAGTGGGTCCCAGGTCACGCCGTTGGGGATAAGGGGTTGGATAAATGATGCTCATGGGGGGAGCCTGCCGCGAGGCCGCGGAGGCCTCCTGACCGTGCTGGTGCCTGCGCCGGCGCGCAGCCGCCCCGCCCCGCCGCCACGGCACGGTCGTCGTCAACGTCGACTTCGGCGTCGACGTCGGCGTATGTGTCGGCGTCGGCGTTTGTGTTGGCGTCGGGGTAGTCGTCGGAGTCGGGGTCGAGCTCGTCGTCGTCGTCGTCATCGTTTTCGGAAAAGAGCGGGGAGGGGAACAGAGGAGGACGCAGATGAATAGTAGTAGGAGTAGTAGTAGTAGTAGTAGTAGTAGTAGTAGTAGTAGTAGTAGTAGTAGTAGTAGTAGTAGTAGTAGTAGTAGTAGTAGTAGTAGTAGTAGTAGTAGTAGTAGCGTAGTATAGTAGCAGTAGCAGTAGCAGTAGCAGTAGTAGCAGTAGTAGTAGTAGTAGTAGTAGTAGTAGTAGTAGTAGTAGTAGTAGTAGTAGTAGCAGTAGCAGTAGTAGTAGTAGTAGTAGTAGTAGTAGTAGTAGTAGTAGTAGTAATAATCATATTCTCATACGCACCTCTCCGAGGGAGTAGAGCTCAGAGGCGATAAATGCGCACGCGTCCGCGATTTTTCTGGGCGTTTCGCTCGGGACATCCTCGAAATTCTGAACATCGGTGGCACCCCTCACGCAGATCGCGACGTCAGGGTCCAAACACACATGGGAAATTCAACATTTTAACATAAAACCTTCAAACACACATGGTAATTTCAATAATTGTGACCCCGATTCTCAGTGAATGGCGGTTTCGCTTGAAAAATCCTTCCAAAATCGAGCCCCAGACCCCGCCTCGGAGCCTCCTGGGGGCCTCCTGGAACCTCCTGGGGCCTCCTGGGCCTTCTGAACCTTCTGGCACCCCAGACCCCGCCTCGGAGCCTCCTGGGGGTGTCCTGAAACCTCCTGGGGCCTCCTGGGGCCTCCTGCGGCCTCCTGGAGCCTCTTGGGGCCTCCTGAAGCCTCCTGGGGTCTCCTGGGGCCTCCTGAGGCCGCCTGGGGCCTCCTGGGGCCTCCTGGGGCTTCAGAACTACATGCACACAGAGACACAAATCACGCCCAACACATCACACGCTAGACAAACATAACACACACACAACACCTACAACACACAAAAAGCACGCACCACACGAAGCATACATCACAAACACACACACACGCACAACACTCACAATCCTGGGGCCTCCTGGAGCCTCTTCTGGTATCCAAGTCGGGCCTCCTAAGGCTTCCTGGGGGCACTGGTACACACATCGCAAGGTGTGGCAACCCCACTTGCGCTCGAGTGCGACTTCGATGTTGCATTTCACTCCTGCTTCAAACGCCCCTTCAGTTTTTTGTATGAGCCTGGGCACACACGTTTCACTTGTTATTAATAGTAGTAGTAGTCGTCGTAGTAGTAGTAGGCGTAGTAGTAGTGGTAGTAGTAGTGGTAGTAGTAGTAGTAGTAGTAGTAGTAGTAGTAGTAGTAGTAGTAGTGGTAGTAGTAGTAGTAGTAGTAGTAGTAGTAGTAGTGGCAGTAGAGGTAGTAGTAGTAGCAGCAGCAGCAGCAGCAGTAGTAGTAGTAGTAGTAGTAGTAGTAGTAGTAGTCGTAGTCGTAGTCGTAGTAGTAGTAGTCGTAGTAGTAGAAGTAGTAGAAGTCGTAGTCGTAGTAGTCGTAGTAATAGTAGCAGTAGTCGTAGTCGTAGGCGTAGTCGTAGTCGTAGTACTGTAGTAGTAGTAGTAGTAGTAGTAGTAGTAGTAGTAGTAGTAGTAGTAGTAGTAGTAGTAGTAGTAGTAGTAGTAGTAGTAGTAGTA